TGTCCAGTGGCATCTGCAGCTCCACTCTACTGTACTTCCTAATCTGGATGGAGGTCATGGAACAGGAGCTGTGTTAAGGATCAATCATTATAATGGGCGAGGGGTATGTATTAGGGGTGCAACGATACAGAAAATTCACGATTTGGTTCGGTTCAATACTTTAGTATCACGGTTCGATATTTTTTCGATATAGAAAAAGAGAAATGTCCATGCCCCTTTTAACTTGTAATTTATTTAAATTATTTCTGAACATTTGTTTAACCTCAAAAGTACTTTTTTTTATTAAATGTTGCTGAAACAGCAAGTTTCTCAGTGGATCTGTGCTTGACAAGGCAGCCTAGATGGAGTAGTCGAACACAGATCCACTGATCCTTAAACACAGAGCATCTTCAGAAGACAAGTTGATAAAATAAATGTTAAAAAATCTGCATTGTTCCATACAAGTGTGTATTGAACCTAAAGCACTGTATTGAACAGTTCGATGCGGGTACATGTATTGTTGCAAGTAGTTCAATTCTACACCTCGATCAAGTAACCATGCCATCTTCAGTTGTTATGAAAACACTGTTTATATCAAAAATAAATTTGACTGTATCTAAACACATTGAAATTGACCTCTTTCTGTTTCTACTGTTGCAGACACTCCCACTTCAGCACATCCTCACAACACTGCTTTGTGGGAGGGGTGGTGCAGAAGCTCAGCTGAGGACTGAGMTCCAGGAAGTGTAAATTGAACTTGTGTAAATTGATGGGTTGCAGTCACATAGGGAAGTGATTTACTCCAGTTGAAAACACAGCAAAATGGATCACAGCAAGTACGCTAATGCCCTAAACGGGCTGGCACAGATGAGATATCACAAAAATAAATATGTATACATTYAGGATATGATCCATATTGTCTTAATAAATAACTGTCATATAATCTGGAGGGTTTACCTGACATCAAGTCGATTGACATAACAAACTGGTGCTGCAGACCTTTTTGTACAACAAGCCAGATGAAAGCTTTCAAAAAGCCTCAAAGCCTATAATTATTTTGTTTCAGGTTGAGTCAACCACTTAGGATCCAAACAAGCTTTAAATGGTTGTCGACTTGTTTCTGCTCAGGGTAGTGATGTGCTATTTAAAGTAATTAGCCTATGTTAACAATGCTATTGCTGAAGCTAACGAGTTAACCCGTTATTTCTATGTGCTATGATCAACTTGTAAATATATTTTTTAGCTTCTGTAAACCCAAATTTGAGTAACTGTTCAATAAAATATCTGAAAATACAATTTTAAGGATATGATCCTTACCTGTGGTTGCTGCAAACTCTTGCATTGTCAGTTTCCACACCTCTGAATCAAAGCAAAACTCTGGGTATGTTTTTGATGTGGGAATGACATCATAACATGATGTAAAGCTCAAAAAGTTGATTTTGCATAATACCCACACACACACACACACACACACACACACACACACACACACACACACACACACACA